AGACTTGACTTACAGACTTTTTGACTTGAGAACCGCCTTCCAATACGGATTAAGTTCTCAAGTCAAGACCCCACTGTATTCATCCAGCTTCAAATTCAGACCAGACCACCCTTGGGAATCCTTCCAGCCCGACACTTTTACATGAGTCTATGAGGCACCATATGAGGGTGGGAGAGAGAAGGGAACCCCTGGCCAAACGAGGAGGAATGATGGGGAGATCCTCCTTTCTCTGCTATCCGAGGCGAGGGGTTCTGGTGGTCTACTGACCCTCAGAAGGCCAGCAGCAGAAGCAGCAAGAACAACTGTAGGCGAGCAGCGAGCCTCACCAAAAACCCAGGGAAGAGCTCCTTACTGGGGAGGTGAAGAACCTCAAGGTGAAAAGCCACAAAGATCTTCGGCTGGCCTTTGGAGGCGACGTTCTCCGAAAGAGGAGGAGAGGTCTGTTCGTGCTCACCTGACGGGGCCTTGCAGGTTAGAGTCCAGATCCTGCCTCTCTGCATTGACCCCGGGGACGGCCCTAAAGCACACCGTGGGACGGTCAAGGAGGTGCTTCTCTTGCACCTGACAGGGTCTTATGTTAATTTTGGCTCCAAAATAAAACATCACGGGATTTTTTTTTCCATGTACAACCATCAACATTGATTCAATGTACAGTCATGTCCTCTTCTTCTGGTTGCTGCACAAAGGTGGAGGGCAGGGTTTCCCTTCACTGGGACTTATTTTTGGGGTAGGGCTTCTATGAGGAGCCTCCTGAAAAATCCTGCTAGGGCTTATTTTCAGGTTAGGGCTGAAAACGGAAACAGGGTAGTCAGGGGGGCTGCTTCCAGGCGCAGGAGCCAGACCAGGCAAGCCATTGGCAGCCCAGCCGATGGAACCACCACAGAGCCCTGAGAAAGACTAGACTAGTTTCCAACCTCCAGTCTCTTATTTAATGGCATAAAAGGTTTACAAACGGCCAGAGGAAAGATGGAGGGGGGAGGAATCACTCAGCCAAGGGTGGGCGGGGGGCTGATAGGGAGGTTCCTTCTCAGGTAGGGTGGGTGAAATACCCTAAAGCAAAGACGAACTCCTATCCATACTTTACTGAATGCATCAACTGCTAGTTTCCCCCCAACTCCAGTGTTTTAAATACTGTACAGCAATGTCTAGAAACAGTAAACAGGTTTTGTCTGGTGGCTACGAAAATGTGACATTTCCTTCTACTGTATTCATCCAATTGCAAACATCATTAAGGAAACTGTCTGGCTTCATAACCACCAAAAGATCATCCGATGGAACCACCACAGAGCCCTGAGAAAGCCTAGACTAGTTTTCAACTCCCAGTCTCTGATTTAAGGGCATAAAAGGTTTACAAATGGCCAGAGGAAAGATAGGCTGAGGGGGATTTCCTTCTACTGTATTCATCCAATTGCAAACATCATTAAGGAAACTGTCTGGCTTCATAACCACCAAAAGATCATCTGTTTCTGAATAGAAGGGACGTTTTTCAGGGTTGCAAATAGTGTTATTTTATAGATCAGCCATACACCAATTAGCAATACCAGTCACTGCGGTGCATCTCCTTGCCAACCCTTCGGTTTGCATGTAAAATTCTCCTGCAAAATTGAAGTAATTCTTCAATATGTTGGTGAAACCTATTGATCTCTAGAGAGTAGAACCCTAACTCTATCCCTCGCCTTGAGTCTTCAGAAGGTAAGCTGGTATATAAGGAGACAGAAAACCCCGTACGCCTACACAATGTAGAGCGCATCGCGAGTAAGCCTAGACTTTTTTTTCACAGGTATTCTTTACTTCCGGTTCAGCTCTTTATCTGGCCTTCCAGATGAGGTTCCGATACATCCCATAATGCTTGGGATGCTCTTCCAGAGATCATGGGATGGATGGGTGTATATTTCACCTCTGGTCCAGCCCTGAGAAAATCTTCAGAAAGGGGCTTCTCTACTACTCTCTTTTCAATCACAGAAGAATTGCAGTGGCGTTTTCCATCCTTTTTTGTTTTTGGGGGGGCAGGCAAGCTATTTTGGGCTTTAGGGAGGAGGGACAGCATTTAAATATAGAATTGCACCCCTTGTAAGCATCTGATGGGGCCGATCCCCCCCTCCCCATGGATTAGAGCCCAAAAGGAACACAACACACAGCCACCATCCCCCCCAGTGCATGTGACCCACAGCTTTGCAATTCCTGCCCCCTCTTCTTGGCAGACAGAGAGATAACTGGCCAGATATCCAGACTCCCTAGTTTTCCTTCTGTTTCTGTTCTATCTGGAATCTGGTCTTATATATTCATTTTCTAGCTTTTCTACTTTGTTGGTGTGATATTTGTACCTTGTTGTGTTGTGCTTATTTTTGCAGAAGCATCAGTAGCAGAGGTAGGACTGCTTTGAGAATGAGCCCTTTCACATGATAAGCTATGAAGCTTAAACCTTGTTGTATTCGCGAAGCATGGCCGGGCCGGGATCTAATGGTTGTTGTGGGTTTTTTGGGCTCTTTGGCCGTGTTCTGAAGGTTGTTCTTCCTAACGTTT